AAATCAGGGATGTTTATCTTCTGCTGGATTCTGTTTGGAAAAGTTCAATGAGACTTTTATTGGATTCACTCTGACATTTGTTACTAAATTAGTCAAACATCTTACTTGATTGTTCTCTAATTAAAGTATGTTAATAATACAAAATATTGACTCAATCCATTGTAAAATCAGAGATGAAAGACAACAAAATGGCTATATCTTTAATTATAACCAATAAAAAATTGCTGCCCTAATAGGTCTGAACATTTGAAATCTATGACAAATGGCCCTTAGTTTTGAAGATCTCCATCCAAAACGATATAAATTAAAAAAAAAAGCTACTTCAACTCTATTCCCTGAGGCAGCATCAAATGAATGCAACATTTTGAAACTGTTCTTTAATGCATTTAAACAAGTGAGCTGTGTCGGATAGAAATCAACAAGCATAAGACTTTGATTAATTTTGGAACATTCAAATACTAAATAAAAGATGAATTTCGGTCTGTTTTGCAGGGTTCTTATATCGACTCATTTTTATAACTGTAATTAAGTTTACAGACTTTCATCAAGATATTTTCAACCAGAAATAAGTTAATAGAAGTAATTGATATTCATGTGCATACGGTCAATTTCTATCCAACTGTCGATTTTTATATCCAGCAGTCGATTTCTGTGGCTGATCATCATTTAATATGGTTATAAAATAAAGAAAATGTGGGGTATATATATATAAATGACAGTAACCCAATGACACAAATATACATAAATAATTTCTAGAGGTTAACAGTGTATATCAAATCATAATATATCTCCCATTTTTTTCTTCTAAAAGTATGAAACTGAGGAAAGTTAACTTAATATGCTCAATGGGAAAAACATGTAACAGTAGTAATGCTTTCCTCAGTTAAGCTTAGAACTTTATAATGCTTGACAGGTGCTTGAACTATTTGAAATTTTGTAATGTTCTTCTTCACACCTTGCCCCCCCCCCCCCCCCCCTCAATTTCCCCAACAGCCTATGTCCTGTCCTTTAAATCTGTTATATTGTGTGAAACATGCTCAATGAAATGACATAGTGACATATTGTATGATCACCTGTCTATGCTAACCACTGTTAAAAATTGACCTCTCAATTTCTTTTTGCTTTTTGTCTTGTTGGTTTGCTGTGCCATTGAGGTTATAGTAAGCAATACTTCCATTTATTCATATCTAAATGCTATCTAATTTTCAATATTATTTGATACTAACTAAATTCACACATGTTTAAATTGTAGATGATTAAAAAATACACCTTCATTTAATCCAAATCAGTAACAGTTTTGAATTAACAGCGTCAGCAATTCATTTGTAACCTTCATTTCAAAATAAACAAACAAAAATAAAAACAAACATGAGCATCTTACCTGCCTTCCAGACAAAAGTTACAGAATCGTGATGTAATCGTGATTACAGGTGTTAAAGTAATACTTTACTTTGTTTACAATCAATGAGGAAGACAGATGTTAGGATTTCACCAATGTCAATCAATTTCATTTTTTCTTGGCATCAGTAATTAAGTTAAAAGGCATAAAACTGAAAATTGTCAATTGTCATATGGCTTTTATAGCAAAATAATCATTACATTTGGGATCAGAATGAAAAACGTTGAAATTGGAAAATCAACAAAAAAACTATAATTATCAAATTATGGTCTCCCTCTGGGGCCTCTGTAGAAAGCTGAGTGACAGCTGGAATACATTTAACTACTACAATAACATTGTCAAACAAAATGTATATCTAAAAATTTTCAAATTTTGAATCATAACCCGGAACAAATACTGTAAATTCAGAAATTATTGCCAGGTTTTTATTAATGCGAACAATGCTATTGAGTGAGTATCGCAATAATCTGATATCAGATATATATAACGATATTCAGATTTTCCTGCAATCGCAATCCTTTCCACAAAAATCGCAATAATTTCTGAATTTACAGTAGTTAAAAATATTGAACAATACAAATAAGGTTAAAATAATCTGAAAAAACCCTCATACCTTTTAGTATGGCAGAAGCAGGTTTTGTCTACACAAGACTCAGCATCAGTGCTCAAGTTTTTACACAAATCAATTCAAAAAGGGGAAACACATCGAAAACCTAAAAGTTCATAAAAGTTTGGCCAAATATGTCTATGCTTTAGGGTAGAAATACTGTAGAGGGTGATTTTTCCCACTGTCTGTCTCTCTGTATATATCATGTAAGTATTACATATATATAACAGGGTTGTTAATCTGGGCCTCGATGGTCAAGTGCTACAAGTAGGTTATCTTTAGGGATAACATAGCCTGTCAACACTCAGTTTCCAACCCTGCTTGTAGCAAAGAGCTTTCGACTCTGATTTAATTGACAAGGAATGCCAGTCTGCTACCAGTAATGGTTGACAGCTCTCTCTCTCTGCCCCATGATACTACATTGTCCTTAATTCACCAATAAAAACTGGCCATCGTGATATTAACCAAGAGTGCTAAAAGTGGTGTTCAACACCAACAAACAAACAAACAAACAAAACAGGGTTGATAACCACAGTGTTATCACTCTAAATCACAGTGTTATCACTCTTTGAAACCACAGTGTTATCAATCTAAATCACAGTTGTATCACTCTAAACCACAGTGTTATCACTCTAAATCACAGTGTTACACCCAACACCAGTAAAGAATAAGTTTTATCTTTTAAAACTTTTACCATCATTATACTTTAATCTTTAGGTTCAAGCACTTTAAAGGAAAACTGGCTAAGGAAAGAAAGAAACCACAGTCATCAGAGATAAATATCAAAGATCAAAGGGTGGTACACACAATGCCTTTGTCATGCCACCCGACTGACTCTATGCTCTTTTTAAACTTAATAAATAAATATGAAGCGAAAAACAGATGTTGACATTATTAACACCAGGTAAACTGTACTTCCTAAAATTTTAATTACCACCAGGTGAGAAGAGATATCGACATGGTCATGTTACCTTGAAGAAAGGGAGCTAACACCTTGCACAATGAAACAAGTTTATCAATAATGCGATCCAGTTTCCTATGAAGCTAATCAAAGATTTATAAATATTCAATTGTTACATGCAGCTTTACAATTTCTAATCCATATTTAATAATTATTGATGATTGATAACTGTTTCTATAGAAACAACAGGTAAATCAATATTTTTTTCAAAATAATTCCTAAAGTCAAGGCCAAACTGTATTTTTTGCAGTATAAAACGATATTTAAAAATTCTGTAAAATTAACATTAAAAATTGTTAGATGATTTGAAAAAAAAATTCTATTGTGACTACTGCTGCACTTTTCAATAGCAAAAATAAATCCTCAAAAGGCCATAATTTTTTGCAGTATAAAACAATATTTAAAAATTCTGTAAAAATAACATTAAAAATTGTTAGATGATTTGAAAAAAAAAATCTATTGTGACTACTGTTGCACTTTTCAATAGCAAAAATAAATCCTCAAAAGGCCATACAAATCAAATTTTCAGTTTTTCAAGCAAATTTTAAAATTCAAAATGTGGCAAAAAGGATACTTTTTAATTCCGACTGTGTGTATCATTCTGTGTTTTCTTTCTCTTCAAAAGGGAAAATTGTTTACCTAGGGTACGATCATTTGATATCCTGTGGGAGAATGGGGGGAGGGGGTAGGTCAGGCCTGGAGGATTTTGGAAAATGAAATATTCTGGCCTGCTTAGAACTGAAAAAAAAACTTAATTGTTTAATATATTTCATATCTGGGCCTTTTATAGCCGACTATACTGTATGGGTTTTTCTCATTGTTGAAGGCAGTACGGTTGCCTATAATTGCTTACGTCCACTTCATTTGAACTTTGTTGGATAGTTGTCTCATTGGCAATCATACCACATCTTATTTTTATATTGCCCAAAACTGGATGCTAATGAATACTGCCAAACAAAATGCAGGAAATGATTATAAATAAGTACAAAAGTGACAATAAAAAATACCATTAGAAACCACAAGACATCTAAGAAAAAAGCTATTTGTTATCACTACAATTAGAATATCTCAAAACAAGTGAGAAAATAGTATCTTTGAACAACACCAAGAAAATCAATTTAAACATCTCAGGAAATGACAATAATCTCTGGCCTGCAAAGCATTATCTAAAATACCATTAAAGACCTCAAACAATGCTTTCTCTGAATACCCCAATAAAACAATGCTTTCTATGAATGCCCCAATGAAGCAATGCTTTCTCTGAACACCCCAATAAAACAATGCTTACTCTGAACACCCCAATAAAACAATGCTTTCTCTGAACATCCCAATAAAACAATACTTTCTCTGAACACCCCAATAAACAATGCTTTCTCTGAACACACCAATAAAACAATGTCTTCTCTGAGCACCCCAATAGAACAATGCTTTCTCTGAACACCCCAATAAAAATACTGCTTCACTTTTCAGAAAACAGAAAAAAAAACACAAAAACATCTTTACAACACAGCATAAAATATGACAAATTTCCATAAGTTAATTAAGGAATGACTGTAATATTTTTTCTGTCTATGAAGAAATAACATAAAAAATGTGGTACACACTGAATAACGCGCGTAGCGGGTTATTTTAAAGTGTGCACCACATTTTTTATGTTATTTCAAATAGACAGAAAAAATATTACAGTCATTTCTTATAATTTAATTCTAAATTCCATTTTAAACCGTAGTAAACCATGAAAAAACGTTGAAGACGTCACGGTCAAATGACAAAATTATGTCTATGAACTGATAAACAAAACAATGTCAGCCAATCAGAAGACGTGTTACATCCAAAATTAAATTAGCTGTTAATATCTAAAATAATTTTATACTGAAAGTTACACACAACTGGACTCTATTAAATCCTGTATAATACGTACATGTGTATATATTATTGTATAACACATATATATTATTGTATACCATATATATATATATGTTATTGTATAGCACATGTATGATATATATATATATATAGACAAAATGACTCACCATTTGAGCTGTATTCTTTGGTTTGGACTTTATTTCCCTGATTTTTTCATTTGCTGAAAAGAGAAGAAAGACAGAATTTGAAAATATACCTTATCAACAAATCCAGGTGGAATAGGTATGAAAACAGTTGGTAGTTTTGGTGTTTATAATTTATAAAACCTTTGTTTAATGATGTATTACGATTTCGTGTGCAGATGGCTGTCATGTGTAGAATTTCAATGGCTTTTCCTCATCACCATGTGATACTGTTTGCGTGCCTGTCTACTCCAACCATGTTTTGATATCTGACAGCATTTTTGTTATTGTTGGGGGGGAGAGGTTTAGGGGTCATGCAGACATCTTAGCAATCTCAGACTAGTGCCTGTCCTAGATTCTGAACCTCACCTGTGACTATCTTTAGTTATACCTTACTGTTTTGACATTTATGGAATTTGGTGTTGATAGCAGATTTTAAAATTTATTTTTTAAGAGACTTGGGACAATTTAGAGCTTGATCTTTAGATGCCATATTTTTAAGCTCAGCTCACCATCTTACTCAACCTATGTACTTAATGTTCTTTTTATTCATATAACTTGTTGAAGACCCAATGGCCAGGCCTCTAATTGTCCCTTGAAATCTTCTGTTTCATTGAAATAAAACCCCTAATCTCCTTTTATTTATAATATCCCAGTTTAATACAACAATGGCACTTGATTAATCCATATTATTTCATAGAAAGGTCGATATGACCTTGTTATTTTAGAACCCTTTTAAAAATTATTCCCACTAAATATAATCGTGCATCTTTTTCTCTGTAATTTTTCACTCTCAGATATTCCTGATAAAGGGTTAATGGAGAAAAATGCTGCAGATACAACTTTATTACAATTGTAGTTGATTGAATTAGTAGAAAATGAAGATTAAATTTTATTCTCCGAAGTAATTATTAAACCTATAGATATAAAGTGTCCGCTTCACAGCGATTCAATTGTCTGACCAAATCATAAAATACACAGAAAATATTTCTCACAATCGGCTCTTAAGCGATTAATTGTTCAACTAAATAATTCAGTAGAGAATTATTGTCTGAACTGGTGCCAAGCATAATACATGATAAATTACTCTTTATACTGTTTAACCCAACAAGGATACAGTCTACTTATTAGCAGTGAATTAAAATCTTATTACTTACCAAACATTTAATCAGGCTATCATAAATAGTTTCTCTTGTGAATTGATTCACATCTTATTTTCTCTGAGCATTTTATAGTTTATTTCATATGATACGGGTTGCTCATTGTTAAGGGTCATATAGTGACTAAACATGTATGAGAAGGGAACCTGAAGTACTGTAGAGTTTTAAAAGAGTCTTAACATACTATAATCTCTAAGGCAAGAGTATTTCAATCTTAGAAACAGACCATTGAGTAATTAACATCTGCTACGATTTTCTGATGCACATCATCCTTTTATCTTTATAGAGTACAGTTATTATTCCTAAATTTGGTTATATATGTCATGTGACACTGACTTTTTGTCATAAATTTGAACTGGAATAAATGAGTTTAATCAAGAGAATGGACTTGCTTACATCTATGTTTTTGGTCTCTCAAGTGGATAGTTGTCTCACTGGCAATCATAATAATTTTTTTAATCTTTATATCATATTAGACGATTTAAAATTTTGATTCTTTTTCTATAGAAATCCTTCAAATTTTCATTCAAATTATGTAGATTTGGATTGTGTCCATTAAGAGAGTATTCCAAATACAAACATATACATATATCTTTTTTTATGTGTACATGTATATGATCAGTAGAAGTCAATGAGACAGCAACCTAATAACAGAACAAAACCAGGTGACATCTAAAGGTTAACATATTAAGTTTATGACCGCCTGGGTGGTCTCGCATTTGCCTCAAGTGTAGGAGGTCGAGGGTTCGAAACCCCGGCAGGTTCAAACCAAAGACTTTAAAATTGGTATTTGCTGCTTCTCTGCTTAGCACAAGGCATTAAGGAGTAAGAGTAAAGTAAACACTGGTTGGCTCAGAGTCAGAATAATATTTTCAAGTAGGGTAACATTGTCTTCCTGCAGACTGTTACCTTGAGAACTAGCACGTAAAAAATCCAGCTCAGCGTCTAGTACAAAGCAGGGTTAATATTCATATTACATTAACATGTTCTCGTCCTGAATATGCATTTAATTTGTCGCTGGACGTTAAACAGCCATCCATCATCATCAAGTTTTTGTATGTTTTCAAATCAGTCAGATACATGAAAGCATTATAGACTTATTGAGTAATAAACCAGGCATGCAATCATTGGATAATTGTTGTCATTACAAGAATAACATCAGGTTGACAAGAATAATATATCTTCCTCTAAATTGTTGAATGAACATTACTGCAGGGGTTCAAATTAGTGTGGGTCCAAGGTCAGGGACCTGTCTTTTCTAGGAGAGGACTTTTCATTTTTAAATTACAAAAGTCAAGGACCTATCATTCTTTACACTGATGCTTTATACATGAACATTGTTTTCTTATGGAGGACCTTTTACTTAGAACTTCAAATCGTCCCGGACCTTTAATTATTCTAAGCAAATTTGAACCCCAGTGTACTGTATATTTCTGGTGAAAAATGTTACATTTCTATTCAAGAATGTTCCTTTGTGAAAAGGATCTACTGCTCAAGTTAAAGTTACTAGTTGCCTAATGGCTAGCAGAACTTTATTTTAAAGTGATGACTGCAGTAGGATTAGAGACTTTTGTTTAAAGCAATATAGTCAAGTGGACACTGATTTTTTTATTTAAATATCATGGTGTTTGAATTTGTAAAGTCTTATATTCCCTATTTTTATGAATATACAACAATTGTCACCATTCATGAAATTGTTGGCCATATTATATGCATGTGTGTACTTTAAATTTCCATATTACAAGTACCTTAATCTTAACAAAATCTTTTAAAATGAGAAAATTTCAGACCAATTAAAAAAATTGATTAGATCATAATCTTGGCATTTCACTCTTGTTACAAGATATTATCTTTCATAAAAATGTCCTCATAATTGGATTGCAAGAAAAGCTAAATTATAACTAATCACATCTAGTGTTGCAATCTTCTGTCTAAATACATCTTCTGACAAACCTCATAAACTAAATGGACAATAAAATATGATAAGAACAACTAAAAACCACATCCTTAACCATGATTTAATTACCAATTACTATAACAAAAGAGAAATTCCATCATAATTCAAAACAAATCTATGTCAACCAATCATTTCAGATGTAAAATTTGAATTAACCAATCAAAACTGAGTTTACATAATGAGAACCAATTAGAGAGATTGATTAAGGGTAAATGTATAAGAAGTTGGTTAGATTGACTGAGGCAGGATATGACTGTAATCGTAATACGTCCAAGAATATTGTAATTAGGATCCATCATTTTCAATAAAATAATGAAGTCAGGTGTTGAAAAAGAACATTGTATCTCCAGAAAGAAACCCAATACACAAATTCCATTGAACTTTGGCAAGTTTGATGAGGTTCCTAAAGGGTAATTTCTCTTACAATGTAACAATGACTAATTCTTCCATTCTATTCGAAACAAAACTAATGGTTAACTAATTGAAATCAAACAATTTTAACTTTATAATGGAAGGACTCACAGGTGGATAGACCTGAAAACAAAATAACTTCCACATTATAAGTATATCAATTATAATTGCCTAAGATGCAGAACCAGTGGTCAAAATAGAAGGTCAACATCATCTTTTTACCATAGTCGTATAGTAGGTCAAAGGTCAATTAAAATACAGTCAATTCCAGTAAATTCTGCCATTAGATAGGTCTGTAAATTTCGTTGGTACAATGTCAAATAAACAGACATTTTGGACGGAACAAATTACATGTACCCAGCATAAAATATATATTTTCCGTAAAACAAATAATAATTGAAACCTCCCTGTAAGATCCTCATAGATAAAAAAATCAACAACTTCAATTATAACAAATAGCAAATGGACTTTACACTTTTAATTCTGTAGTAATATCAGAATCAGGGAAAGAAGCCATTTTTATGTCATCTTCATGAAAATCAATGGACAATTAAGAAAACAATTAACGCATAAAGCCAATACAAAATTAGATAGATTTCCCATGGTATTTAATTCATACTATCTTTTACATGTAATGGCTTTCTTTTTAGTGAGGTCTTCTATTTAATATAAAACACTGCATGATCAAGAGTTTATTGAAAATTTATTTTGCAAGCTATAAAAACTTGCTTAAAAGCCATCAAACATATTTGTTAAAAACTGAAATAGTCCACCCAGTTCCTGATACCCTATCCTCAAAACAAGTTACCGATATAATGAGTTGTGCCATTAGATACAAGTTTATATCGAACATCATTACAATAACAAACTATTATATCGTATATGGGAAACCTTCCTCAATGTGTCTTTTACTGCAAAATTTAACCTACATAAACTTTTCACTGTTCATTTAAATGCATTAAATTCTTATTATTTTTTTAAGGTACCCAAAGTTGCAGAGTGTGGAATTATTTCATTTTTCACCCATGATAATCATCTACAATATTGTAAATTATTTTTAAATATAGAAATAAGAAGATGTGATATGAGTGCCAATGAAACAACTCTCAACCAGAGACCAAATGACATAGACTTTAACAACCGTATGGCCTTCAACAATGAGCAAAACACATACAGCATAGCAAGCTATAATAATTTTAAAAGCCCCCATTAGTACGAAGTCTATGCATGCTGGGAAGACAAAGCAGTAATATAAGTTAATTGGTATTTATTAGTAAAGTACATTGTTTGAATATTAGAGTAATTACAGAATATATAAACCTGTCAACTCCATCATAATGAGGGAGTGAAGTATCTACACCATTGAATAATTATCTACTAATCAATTCAATTATGAAGTAGTTACTGTAAGTGTATTACAGTGGAATGGTAATTTTTTACACCAGAAAATGTTCATGTGTTAACTAATTTCTTGAATCAGGTCAGTTCAATTTGAATTTTAACATGGGTTATTCAAAAAATTTCTCAATGTCCATTTCAGTATTGTAAGGTAAAATAGCTTGACCTCTACTCCTATAGTATAAGACTTCATAGGTCCATATCGTTTGCATTCACTGTTTTTTATCAGATATTTTAATCAGAAATGTCTAGGTAGTTATGACTGGAGGTGTGAGTTGAGGAATGATATGGATACTTACTGACAGCCTCTATGACATCTGCTAAGAGGACACCATCAGAAATGTCTAGGTAGCTATGACTGGAGGTGTGAGTTGAGGAATGATAGAGATACTTACTGACAGCCTCTATGACATCTGCTAAGAGGACACCATCAGAAATGTCTAGGTAGCTATGACTGGAGGTGTGAGTTGAGGAATGATATGGATACTTACTGACAGCCTCTATGACATCTGCTAAGAGGACACCATCAGAAATGTCTAGGTAGCTATGACTGGAGGTGTGAGTTGAGGAATGATAGAGATACTTACTGACAGCCTCTATGACATCTGCTAAGAGGACACCATCAGAAATGTCTAGGTAGCTATGACTGGAGGTGTGAGTTGAGGAATGATATGGATACTTACTGACAGCCTCTATGACATCTGCTAAGAGGACACCATCAGAAATGTCTAGGTAGTTATGACTGGAGGTGTGAGTTGAGGAATGATAGGGATACTTACTGACAGCCTCTATGACGTCTGCTAAGAGGACACCATCAGAAATGTCTAGGTAGTATGACTGGAGGTGTGAGTTGAGGAATGATAGAGATACTTACTGACAGCCTCTATGACATCTGCTCAGAGGACACTATCAGAAATGTTTAGGTAGGTATAGGCCTGATGGATGGAGGTGTGAGTTGAGAATTGATAGAGACACTTACTGACAGCCTCTATGACATCTGCTAAGAGGACACCATCAGAAATGTCTAGGTAGCTATGACTGGAGGTGTGAGTTGAGGAATGATAGAGATACTTACTGACAGCCTCTATGACATCTGCTAAGAGGACACCATCAGAAACATCTTGTTGGAGATCACTGATGAACCTTTTATTACGAGCCTTTTCCAAGTAATGGTTTGCCCAATCTGTATAGATCTACAATCAGAAAATAACATTAGTTTAATGCAAAAAGAAACACATTAAAATACAATGCTATGACAAAGTTTTGATGATTTAACCTAATGCTTCCCTTTGTGCAGTTTATCACACCCCACTTTTTATTTTATTTTCTTAATTTACCAAATTTTTTCTTTCCTTTCTTCCTTTTTAATTTCATCCTTCAAGAGCACTTTTTCAATTCACTACACATACAACAAGATGTGGGATTGGGGGGGGGGGGGGGGGGGCTATATTCTCAATGACGGACAGAAAACATGTAATCCAACAGACATAAGACTAGAAGTCAATAAACAAGTTTAAGAATAGTCCAGCCTCTACACAATATGTCAATCTCTTTGTAAGTAATAACAAATTTAACACAGATTACAGGGGTGGATCCAGGATTTTTGAAAGGCTGGGGTGTAATTCTGAAAAACATGATAATTAAGATACTGCAAATTTTTTTGGGATGATTTTAAGGTAAAAAAATCATATAACTTGTTAGAAACATGAGATTTAAAACTTTTTAAGGGATCAGAGGGGGTTTGAATACAACATCTACTGGATCTGACACTGGATTATCAAAGATCTGCCATGAATGCCATTGCTCATTAATTTTCAGATTTATTAATATACTGTTGTAAAAAGCTATAAGAATTTCATAAAAGTTAATAGTTCTGTTCTTATATTGTCAATTAGCAATTAAGTGTTTCAGTGAATGACATTACTATCAAAGTATCAAGACTGAGAGAGTACCACTGTTTACATCAATTGATTGACAACAATTACTTACATTTGTTGATAAACAAATTCCAATCTCATCACCTACATACCAAGATTCACTAAGATCAAATGCATAATAGTTTCATTTAACAAATATTTATAATAAGAAAAACATTTCTGTCATTATCTACTTCTACAATCCTCCATCTTTAAGGCCTTATGGCACCAGTGAACAACAATGTTACAAGTATTGTCCTTTAGATGGTGAAAAAACAAATCTTTTCAAATGTATTAACACCACCCACATAAGTGTCAGATCCTCTAAGAACCAGAAAATAAATATTTGGACTCACATACGTCTGTAGGTAACACTTCCACATACTATTAATCTTAAAGTTACTAGAAATATCACTCAATTCAATATAAATTTTACTCACAAATTTTTTCCTTAAAAAACTATTGACTTTCTTTCAAATATACAAATGCAAGATTCACAACATAAAAAAGAGGCGGAAGATACCAAGTGGACATTCAAAACTCATAAGTCGAAGAATGCTGACGCCATTATGGCAAAACACGAAAAAGAAGAAAATAGATGTTTTAATACTGTGCAAAATAAGATGCAACATTGAACACACAGTGGTTGATATCTAAAAAGTTTCAAATTTGAATCAAGAGCTGAAAATAATATTTGGATGTTTCACCAATACCAAGTAAAATAATTCAATTTTGATTCTTTTTTAAATTAAGAACCACTCAAATTCAAATTGATGGTTTTCCAAGTCAATAGCATTGATATTAAGTTGAGTGCATTGAGACATTCATTTTAAATCCAATATTCAATGACACCTGATGTACATCTATATTTGGATATCCCAATCATCTATTCAAGTTATTACCCCTGTTTAAAAACTGTATGCCTTAAATTCAAACAACTCCCTTCGCTCTAAAATGACTTAATCCTCTTTAAATCTTTAAGTATCACTTTTATTGAGGATCCCTAAAATGCACAATTATACACAACTCATTTAAACAAAGAGATGTGAGGTATGTGTCAATGAGACAGCAACCCAATGACAAGAATAACCAAAAGACATATTTACCTTAATCCTGTATTGATCATTAAACACATCATGTATGTCTATATTTGGACTTTCTAATGTACTGGATGAAGTACCCATTTTAAAAAATATATCCAATCAGCGCACAAATTAAACAAAAACAAAACATTACTCAATTAACTGTACAAATCACAGCGTTCCATATATGTTAAATAAGTATTCCATGCTGAATAATGCCTTTAACCTCAATGCCTTTCTAAGCCATTTTTCTTCACAAATTCATCATGTCAATATATATTTGAACACTGTTTTATAATTTCCAATATTCATGCAGCATTTACTATTTTTAACTAAATAACCCCTCTTGTTCTACACAAATCCACATATTCATTTCCTCCCCAATTATGTCAATATCAACAATGTTTATTTCCAATATTCTGCTTTTACTGTTTAGAATTATACGATTATTTATTGTTCTGCAAAACATTGGAAATAGATAATTTACCAATTCACCTATTTTTTATAATAATATCAATAGCAAAAATGCACTCTTATATTTCACTTTTTAATAATTAATGTATGCTGTATCTGTTTAACAAATAATAACACTTTTCAATTAAAATCCATAAAAAATTTCTGCCAAGAAATATCTCATCATTTGCATGGTTGCAACTTTTAAATCTGCTTTAATGATGAAAATAAAAGCAATTAATGAAAATTTTCATTTTCAGCAAATAATAAACAATCTTGAGCAACAAATCCCTCCTACTTAAAGGAAAAAAAAAGCACTGCTGTTTTTAATAGCACTATGAGTCAAAGAACACTAAATAAATCCATTCCATCTCAACCAATATATCATCAAACAGTTTGATCCAAGAGAACTTCCCTCATTCTCTGGAACCAATTTCATTAGAAGCATTTTATTAAATATTCAGAAACATAAAGTCATGATCTATGGAACATTAGCACGAGCCTTTATTATTAGAACCGTTACACGACCTGGTGTGTGCATCTAATTTAATCAAAGTCACATTAGCAATCAACAAGATGTTTTACGAAACCCATCTTCAATGCAATTATGTAGCCTTTTTAGATCAGTTTGACTCCTGGTGAAGTTTTCTTATGTTTACGTTAAATGTAAAAGTTCCACGTTCATTTGAATAATGATGAAGTTATTAGACGAAGGATAAGATAGGATAAAATATCTAAACAGGATATTATTGATAAATTGGACCTCAGTAAATAGAAACATTGTCAAATCAATATAATCGGATGGGATAATAACGTGAAGAAAAAAAATCCTAGTGTTATATCTACCATTGCTTCCTTCATAACTGTTTATTCCTAAAACAATCGATTTCTCCATAGCTTTTATAGTTAATTTGACCATGAATGTTTATAAGATGTACATATTCTAACACAGAAACTGAAATTTATATGTTATAATGGTTCTTATGGGAAAATATTTCTTAATCAGTTTCATAGGACCATAAAAACTGCTTGTTTCATTATACATTTTGTTACAGCTAAGTCATCTAACCTAATGAAATTCTCGTTTTCTTCATAAATAAGTCTATCACTTTTATTTTTTTTCTACCTCTTAACCAATTATTCCGAATGCTTAAAATAATAAAATTACAACAGTAAAAAAAAAAAACACTTTTCTACAATTTTTCACTTTAAGGTATCCAATTATTTCTATATCAAATTCATATTAAAATGGACATGATATATCTTTTAGAAATGAACTGGAGCCAAATGAATCTTAACAGTCCTTTGACTTTAAGTATTGATAATAACATCATGAAATACATTAAACAAATCTATTTCCACAAGTCATGTTGCTTCTATATGATTTTCTGGTTCTCTAATTCATTGCTTAAAAAGATCAGAATGGTGTCTTCCTCCTATTCCCACTTTTTAAAAATCACTATTCCTTCTATTCCCACTTGAAAATAACAATAGATGTTTTGATAAATAATTTGTTTTTATAACAATCAAGGTTAATCAAAAATTCACCTAAGATTTACCTGTATTTTTTAAAAGAAAACATATTTCTTACACTGTTAAGTATAATATTATTTAAAAAAAAAATTTAAAACACTTTTTATTTGTAATATGTTTTTTTTTTCTTATTCAAAGAATAACTTAAAAATAGTCAGAAAAACTGAATTCATATACATAAAAAAATAACCTATTATTATCCAAAAAAACACTTGTCAATTAAAAGTTGAATAAACAATGTTTATACAGTATAATCCTTTGTTTGCACAAGTTTTCCCCCTATTCCCACATGAAATTTTAACTTTTCTTACAAGATTTATAAAAAGTGGGAATAGGAGGAATGAACCATCAGAATATTACTCTCCCAGTTTGAATAAGGATAATAGTAATTAATACTTAATTACTTACTTGTTCGCTGAAGCGTTTATAAAAAATGAAATGTTTGAAATACTAATGATTTTCTAGCCCAGGAATAGATTACCTTAGCTGCATTTGGCAAAACCTTTCAGAATTTTGGGTCCTCAAACGCTCAACATCTTGCTTTATTTGGACTTTTAACCTTTTTTATTTGAGCGTCACTGATGAGTCTTTTGTAGATGAACAGTATGTCTGGCGTATAAAATTATAAGCCCAGGTATCTTTTATAAGTTTTTTTGACTTAAATGAAAGCTGACATTTTTTCTAACTTAAAAAAAAGAAAAAGAATAAATAAAATTTGACTTTTAATTATCAGTTTTATCAACAACAAAAAATTAACTTAACTCTTGAATACGTAACATACATGTATCTCATACATAAAAAAACAAAAATTGCAAATGGTATTTTTGAGCGACCAGATGTTTAAACAAGTAAATAGATAGCAATATGCATTTAATTAAGGTAATAATTATTGTAAAGTGAACAAATTCTACTGTTATATCATGAATAATTACACATCCCTGATTCTCTCTGCTTCTGAGACACCACAACAGACAAAGAAAACATTAAAAACATAACATCAAATTGTTAGCAGAATCTTGGTTAAAATTATCTTGTTACTTTACTCACAACTTTTAAAAAGAGTTTTGAAAAATGTTTGCAGTTGTATTTTTCGTTTTAAATTGTTTTATATTTAAATATCACTAGCATATTTATTTATAATACTGTTTGTTAAGGACCATAACAGTGACCTGTAGTTTACATTAATATGCCTTGGTCTTTAGCTCTTTCATAAGCTCCTAATTAGTTTCACTTCTTTTTCGTGTGTTGAACATTATATATATGGATTACTCTTGGAAAACACTGTCTTCCCGGTAAACTTTTGTAGTCAATTTGGCTTGATAATAATTTCAACAACAAAAATTAAATAGATTTTCTATTCAACATGTAGCAGGCACTGTCAGTAACTGCATGTATACTCCTTTGTTAATTTATGTTGATTATTGTCATTTTGCTTAGTTTCTTCTGTTACCCGTATTCTAACAGCAAACTTGGACTTCTTCTGAACTGAGTTTTACTGTGTGCATTGCTGTGTGTTTGTTTATTCCACATTGGCTAGAGGTTACAGGAAGAGGGTTGAGATCTCACAAAAAATTGTTAACCCTGCCACATTTTTGCGCCTGTCCTAGAGTTAGGCCGAATAAAAAAAACCAATAAATTTTAATTTTAATTTTTTTTTCTTCTGAAAATGGGAAAATTCAGATAGGCGGATCCGTACACCAACAAATTAAAAAACCTTGCTTAAGTTCATAAATGTAAAAAAACCAAGACGATATCTTGTTTCCGACAACAGACTTGTTTCTTGTTTGAATCCATGCCAATATAACAACACTGTTTTCTTCTGATTATACTGCTTCAGGGAAACAACTACAATTTAATGTTCAATTATATTAGAAAATCTTTTGTAAAAGGGTAAAGGCAAAAAGGTGGATGATCTTCTGGAATGTTTGCTCATAGAATGGAACTCAGATCAGTGATGATAAATAAAAAATTATACTAAATTAAACAGAAATTGTGTGTTTTGAATTTATTCTCAGGAGTAAAGATTTTTTTCATTTTTCATCCCAAATTTATCAAAAAAAATTCTATACAAATCTAAAAGCTTTAATGCCTTGGTCAGTGACAAACAAACATTGACCTGAAGACACATTTCTAACAGACAGTAAAGTAAAGGAATTAATAATGAAACTGGAGTTATCATTCATTATGTTAACATGCCCCCTTGATTCAGTAGCTCCATGTGTTCGTACATAATCTCATGATAATCATTTATGAGAAGGCAGGCTTTTTTCAGTAAAGAGTTCTGAAAAAAAAAAGAATATATCCACTTCCGCCAAAAGAATATCAGGAGGTACTCAGAAGACATATCAATGCCCTAAATACAGCATGGAAACAATAGATGACAAAACCATTCCACAATGCAATCCCACATTTTACATTTGCCTTTCTAACCATATGGTAACCTCTGATATTTAATTATAGTAAAACAGATATATTAATCATAAATATTATTCATGTCATTAAAATTTATGAAATATCAGTATATTCCTTAATATTGTTTATTATTAATAGCAAAGCACTCTGCGTAATTATTAAAAATACTGAAATATATAACTAAAATAAATAATGAAAAAAAAATGTGATGTTCATATGTAATTGTTACCATGTTTATCTGACATAATCCAGAATTCTCGTGTTGGTTTTTTTTTTTTTTTTGGGGGGGGGGGATATTTGTGTACAAGGACTAGATAGGTATACAAATTTAAAAATAATTGTAGTCATACTCTTGTTTTGGCAATAAAACAAGAGGCTCATTGAAGAATCTGAATTGCTCACCTGGTAAAAATATGCCATTTTGACATTTATTGCAATCAGATATGTTTGCTTATTTGTAAATTTTATTTAGTGACATTTTTGTAGATCTTGATCAGTTTTACTATTTCATGAAGTTGTCCTTGACATTTAATCACACAGAATGAATAAAAGGAATGCTGGTATAATATCAATGAGACAGCAACACAATTACAAAAAAAAAGATATTTAGAGTGTTCATTGAATCATTGAAGTATGTGTTCCCTCTAGATGATGTGCCTGTATCATTCAAAACTTTGAGGTGTAGCGGTATATATCGGAGTTAGAATGTCTGGAAATTGTCAAAACTTTTCATCTTAAGTTAAATCTATGTGAAAACTGACTCCAAAACTGTTCTAATAACAAAACTATTACAAGTTTAGAGTAAAGTACTTCAAAGGTATACAAGTACAGCTGAACTCACTTTTTCTTTAGGGAAGTCCTGCTTTCATCAAGAAATATAAAAATAAATGGAAAATGTGTCCATGGGACAGATGATGACCCCGCTTGCATATAACGTTACAAAGGGACATAACTGAAGAACGGTAAAAATGACGCTACCCAAATTCGTACTTGATCTGAGTTTTGTGGTAATA